TTTTTTCTTCTGCTGAACACAAAGGAATATATTTTGAAGAATGTCAGTATCCAAACAGTAAACTGGTCCCATTTTGGGTGTTATTTTTGACTCCCATCTTAATCTGGAAAAACAAATAGCATCTGTTGTAAAGACCAGTTTCTATCAACTAAGAATAATTTCCAAACTTAAGTCTGTTCTGTCATATAATGATCTGGAAAAAGTCATACATGCCTTCATAACCTCCTGCCTGGACTATTGTACAGTAACTCTCTTTACTTTGGTCTTCCCCTAACTCTGGTGGCAAGGCTTCAGATGGTTCAAAATGCAGCGGCTAGGCTACTCACAAACACAAAAAACGTGAGCACATTACACCAGTCCTAGCCTCCTTGCACTGGCTTCCAGTCCAGTCTAGGATACAATTCAAAATACTGCTAATGATTTTTAAATCTCTTCACTCCCTGGCCCCCAGCTACATAAAAGATATCATTCATTCTCGCGTAGCTCTGAGGTCCCTAAGATCCTCCAGTCAAGGCCTCCTCCAGGTCCCACATCAGAAGTGCCCCTTCAATTGAGATTTTTAAATCCAGGCTTAAAACTCACCTTTTTACATTGGCCTTCCCGGCTTCTTGAATTGTTTTAACTTGCTCTGTTTGTAATTAAGTGTCTGTCTTTCTATGTGGATCTTGCTTAATTCTTTGATTTGTTACTGTATCTTATTTTATTTTTTACTTTGTGGCTACTGTGTACAGCACTTTGGTCAGCGTGAGCTGTTTTAAATGTGCTATAGAAATAAACCTTTACTTACTTACTTACTTACATTGACTATGGTTGAAAAAAATACTATGGAAATTAATGGTTCCAGATAACTGTTTGGTTACTGACATTCTTCAAAATATATTCCTTTGTGTTCAGCAGAAGAAAGAAATTCATACAGGTTTGAAACAACTTGAGTGTGAGTAGGCCTATATAATGACAGAATATTAGTTTTGAAGTGAACTATCCCTTTTACGTGTAATTGGCGCCAAAGCTACCGACGACGACACCTGACGGCTGAAAAAGCGTCTCAAACAAAATCAGAACAATGGACATCTCTAACTGATCAATGAATGACAACGCTCTTTGTTCACGGAACACAACATTTAACTGTCAACTGCATTGAAGGCATGTTATCAGATCAAACAGATTCACATATCTTTCATTACATTTTTTTAACGATCATTTTTTTAACCATTCACGTCATTTGCGCTACAAGAGCGGCATCAACCCTCTATGGCCCAGCAACCAATTTATACATTCAAGACAACACGTGAATTTTAATTTAATCGTTCATATTAGTGGGAACAATGAGGCCGCGCTTTTGATATGCAGAGGTGTTCGATGCGGGGCTGCACTCCAGAGAGAAATAAACGCAAGTCGTCCTCCACCTGCAGCCTTGATCTGTATTTGTTTATAATTCTGGTCGTCTGCCCTTTTTCCAATTGAAAACCTGAGAAAATGGCTTTAAAGTTTTTTTTGCCCGTTCATTGTTTTTTCCTCATAAATGCAAACACAGAAAATAAAATAGAATTAAAGCTACAAGCAGCGATGGGCGGGCCCTCGCACCTGTTGCACGTTGGGGTATGAGGCGGCCGTGTTGCATATTCTGGAGCTCAGCCGATGCGGCTATGAATCTACTACGCGTCCAAATCACCCAAAAATTGACGTAAAATTCAAAATGGCCGACTTCCTGTTGGGTTTAGAGCATTGCTCCAAGAGGCTTTTTTGTACATCTGGACATGATCCATGTGCCACAGAAATTCCATACATGTAGGTAGGGCTGTAACGATTTTGGCTATAATCATAATCACAATTAATCGAACAAGTCACCTCGATTACGATTATTGAACGATTATTTTAATTTTTTTTCTTTCTCATACGTCAGTGGCAAGGCTTATTCTGTAAATATGTTTTTTTTTTTCTAATGAAAGAGGGCATAATCTTTGACATTCTAAACTAAGGAAACACACATAGCTTTTAATGCTTATTAAATATTTTAAAATATTTTAAAAAAGTAGAAAATAGTTATTTTTGTAAATAAAATAAATTATTGTAAATATTTCCATCTAAAAAGTAAAATATAACTTGTACTTGTATAAAACTAAAAAACTAATCCTTTTCATATTGTATAGCATCTGTAAATGCTTGTGTTATCGAAAGCTGCTTTGTGGAGTGGAGGCACTTGTTGCTTTGCATTTGTCAGTCTCTCTCTTTTTTTCCGCGTGTTTCTTTGGTACAATCAGCTCCTGTTGCTGAGTTGACTCAGAGAGTGCGTTCACACACAACCCGCAAAGACACGTGACATGTCTCAGCAGCATCAATAGTTTGCTTATGAGTTGCGATTTCTTTTTCGAAAAAACACGCTTGTGCATTTGTTTTTCTCTGATTCGAAAATAGACTAGCGCATTACGTACCGTTTCACGCTGGCGAACGATCCCGGCTTAAACGGCATCATTAGGCTGCCGACATGGTAAAATCACGTCGGTTATAGGCTCTGAATTTCGGTTTCGATTATTTTTTGG